CATCTCCGACGACGCCCAGGAATCAATGACCAGCCGGCGAAGAGGCGGGGGCGCCTTGAGCGGAAGCGAGCCGTACGGTGCGCACGAGGGGTTCACCCACGACACGCGGTAAAAGCACAGCTCGCGCACATTGCACGCGGCGGACAGCAGCGCGTGCACATCCGCGAAGCTGTCAAAGTAGACGTCCGCGAGAACCAGCCCAGTGAGGCGCGAGAGCGCCTCAAGCGCCTCGGGCGACGATTTCTGGAGCGAGACGTAGTGCAGGCCTACAAGCTCGAGCGTAGTGAGCCGGTGCAGCTGTGCGACCAGGGCGGGGACGCGGTTGACCCAGTTCTGCGCGTACGCGGTGCTCATGGGCTCGCTGATGGAGAGCTTCTGGACGTAGTGGGCGATGGCGGACGCGCTCTCCAGGAGCGCCTCGAAGCGGGCGCAGTCCTTCGCTCCGGTTAAGCGTTGGTCCCGGAAGAGGTGTGTGCGCGCTGAGGGGAGCCAGGCCTGGCAAGCGAGGCTGCACGCCGACAGGGAATCGCGGTCGTTCCAGAGATGGTCAATGGCTTGGTCGACTAGCTCTTGCGGCAGCTTTCGCACCATGGTTCCTCGTGTTATGGTTCCTCTGTATTCGCGGGTGAGCGAGCTGATATCAGCATATAGCCTTCATAGCATGAAAACATCTGGCCAAATGTGGTACGCCTATATCTGACTGCCTCACGCTGATCACATTTTGCAAAATGTAACGATAAAATCGCGTTACAACGGCATTCATAGCGACAGACAACTGCCATTGTGCTCTGCTCAGGGATTCGTGGAACGATACCTCCAGATACGGAAGGTTCATCCATCGCGTACCACGCCACCCCTCCATCTTCTGCCACTGCCAGTTTCGCAGGTTCGGGCGTATGACAACCTCCATACGGTTCCATGGCCCTCAGTCGAGATGAATTACCACTCAAAATGGTCGTCTGCACATAGGCTGCTGCGTAAAGGAGCCTGGAGCGTTCGGGTGACCATACCTGTACCGAGTCGTGGTGAGGCTCGTGCAAGAGGCCCGCCGCCAGCGCAGGAGTGAAGCTGCCGCGTTTAGTATAGGGCGTGTCGGCGCTCCGCGCTCTATGAGCGCAAGAAATTCGCGACGGTCTATCGATATGAATGTCCCTGTACACGCTGATCGCACTTTGTATGCAACGTGCAATCAGAGTGCACCTACAGTAGCGCAAGTTGAGACATCGAAAGCACAATCGCACTTTGGCTACGATGTGATTCCGGTGTGACATCTCGCTAAGTAGGTCCGTGCCCTTTACACGCTCGCCCTCCCCGCCTTCCAGCAGAGCGTGACAGGTCTGCCTCTGGGAGACTAGTCCGTACCCCGGTAAAGATAGTTTAGCAGGGCGTACTCACCGGATGCAAGCAGGGAGGTGCTGTCCTGTGTCCTCCCCCGACGATGGTGGTCGTTTATCTGAAGCGTGCGAGTCATTCTGGACACAGACAGGGGTCTATCCCACTGTCGCCAAAATGCCATGACCTGATCTCGGGTGTATGTCGCAACCTGCGCGGTTGCTGATAGGGTCGCGCGGAAATGTGCGGGGAAGGCTCAAGGCGACCACCACAGTGAGAACGAGCCCGACTGTGGCCGGATGGCGTGCGCGTTGGACGGCGATGACGTCACGCGTCTCGCGCCCTGCTCGATCGCACCCTTCTCAGACACCGTCGCAGCTGGCCTCTCTCTACTAATCTGCCTCTTGTCCGTCCGCCAGCTGTAGCCTCGTTTGACTCGCCGACAACCCAAGGGCGTGTGTCCATCCGGTGCACGTGGCGACTCGACGCTGCCCGCCCCACTCGAGTCTCGCATTCATCGAAATCGCTGGCCTCTCGCCCTCTCGTCCGTCGATTGCTGCGACTTGTTCGCTGCCGCATGCGCTCCCATCCGCTGTAGCCCCGAGTTCAACAGGCCCATTACAAGTACTGATAGGCGTCAGCCGGATCTCCTGCCGCAGCGGCGATGTCGACATGCAGCGGCATCCATCCTTTCGACATGGCCTCGGCGAACTAACTAGTACGCACTCTCGATCGCACGCAAGCCTGGGCCATTGCTTGGAGGTATCGCTGTTCCTAGCACACAGACCCCGCCGGCGTCCATCCCGCGCGAGGCGCCCCCTGCGGTTGTCGTGACCACCGCCGTCCGCCGTCATTTCCAGGGTCCCACAGCAGCCGTGGTGCAGACAACACTCTAATGGCGCATATAGTGAGCTTCTACTCCATCTTGATCCGAGCTACACTGACAATATCTCGACAGATAGTCGAGTATACGCCCTACAAATCCTGTCGTCCTTCATGCGCATCGCGATGCCCCGCGCCAGGACGACGTGACGACGCTCACAGAACTTCGACCTCGATGCCTGCCAATTTACGAGAGCGCCGTATGCGCCGTTCGCTCGCTGTGCCGCTCGCTAGGCAACGACGCTCTCGGCGACTTCCATCTCTCCTACTGCAACACCACCTCACTTGGAGCGCGCGACCGCTGCACCACCGAGCGTGATACGTCCGCTCTAGTAGCAGGTGCATTTGCAGCCTGCGCTCATGCGAATTGCGTTGACAGTGACCAATTTTCAGATCTCCCCGACACAAATATGCGCGCATCCTCCTCAAAACCGACCGCGCCAGCTTACCCTTCCACATTCCGCCTCTCAGGAACGTTCCCCAACCGTGCGTACCGACAACGAGGCCGTACATCGATGTTTAGCGGGCGCATCCCGCGTCATTTCGTCGGCTCAGGCTCACCAGCTTGACATCGACTTCGCGCTTCGACGGCGCACCCGATTCCTCCGCAAATGCGACGCGAGGACTCCACTGACCTCGGAGCATATACCCTGTAAGTTTCAGGTCGATCCGAGGAGAAAATATCTCGCTCATTTTCGCGCATTTTCATGTGTTTCCAGGTGCATAGTACACAATATCGCCCGTCCCTCGCCCATCCCGTCACCTACGACCTTGTATCTTGGCCAGAACATGCCCACAGGATCGGCGAGCCGCCTCCGTCCGCTTGCAAGTGCGTGCGGACGGTTTTAGCGGCTGCGATGTAGCGACCAGCCGAAAACACGCCCCTCACCGGGCATGCTATCTTGCGTATCTCGTAACGCCCCCACCCGAGCTTCTCGTGCCGTGCTACGTGCTCCTCCATGGTCTATTTGGTGCGTTCTCAGGGCGAACACGCGCGAACTGCACTGACAGTGTTGCATTTTCCGGCCATCTCTGTGCTACCTTCACAGGCCCGCCGGTCCCGCCCCCCGCATCCGTGGGTTGCGTGTTATGGCTCTCCCCAACGCTCACAACTATACGAACAGCGCACGACGTCGCCCATGGCACGGGCACGCTGTGAGAACGCGCCCCCGCGTCATCAACTTCGCGGATCCGCCGCCTCGTCGTCGCCCCTGCGCGCCCGCCCCGCTCCGCAGACCTCCACGCTTACAACCACGGGCTCGCCACTCCGTGGCGCACGCGGCCACCGCGTCTGGTCGCGATCCCGGAACAAAAAGTTCGCGCGGAATTTCGCGACGCGAACACACGACATCGCGTGTAGCGCCACGGCCCCGCGTCCTGGAGCCGCGCCGGTCCGCACAGGCGCTCCTGGGATCGTGCCCTGCGACTGGGAGCCGCGTTGCGCCGTGCACGAGCGGTGTACGGCGCGATATGGTGCTCGCGGTGCCGATTTAGGGGGGTCCGGACACCCCCCGCCACACGCGAAATGGGTCGGACCTCGGCCGTTGCGCGTGCGCACTGGGAAAGATGCACGGGTGTATACAGCAGGCTCCGCGAGGTGCGTGGCGTGCTCTCGATGCCGCGTGCGAGACACTGAGGAGTGTCCAGGTGTGGCCTGGGGCCTCGGCATGTATGGGGCTGCCGGCGACGACGCTGGCGGCTGCAAGCGCGCGGACACCGCGGGAGGGCACCTTGAGTCGTGTACGACGTGGGTGACACGTCCTTCGGCACGTCGCGGACGATGGGCAGCGCGAGGGGTGTGCATGCGTCAAGTTCGCGGGGGCGGAGGGCTATTATGGACGCCGTAGTTAGTACCTGCCCCCTGTCCTGCCCCGCGATACACCTCACCTTCCAATAGCGCACGCCCAACCTCGGGAGCCGCACCACGGCCCGCGACGCACCGTTCCTCGCGCCGCAGACCGACTACAACAATATCTCCAGCTATGTGACTACTGCACCCCGCCCAAGCCGGCTTGTCGGCTGCGCGCTCCGCGTCAAGATTTTGCCGTATCTGTTCTGACGAGGAAGTAGGTGAGCCCGTCACGTCCAGGACGTAGACCACGGAACTGAGCCCCTTCACCTTATAGTTGCCAGCGTCGCGGGCGTTTCCGCCGTGTGGGCCGGGCGGGATGTGGTGTGCTTGCATGTGGCACGGAGCGCGCGCTCCTGCGAGTGGTGCGGGCAGCCTGGACGAGTCAGCGGTGGGCGGATCGGGGCGAGGCTGGAACGGTCGGGGATGTGCATACCGTGCCTGTCGCGGCGGGGGGCCTGAACACATTCGAGTGCGCAGGACACCCGTAGCCCGCCTCCTCTACATCCTCCGACGGTCGCACGAGCGCCGCAGCACGCATTATGCGCGGGCTCGCAGACGTCGTCGCCGCTGGACATGCACGTCTTCGCCCTCGACGACGTGCGGCACCCGTCTCACTCCTTTCGATGTGGACACCGCGATGCGGTCCGTCAGACCTCCGCTCCTGCGCCGCGGGACCGTGGCCGAACTGGGCAGTCGATGATGTAAGTAGTCAGTGTTGTACTGTATGGCGCGGGTTCACCCACCCACTCACAACGCTGCGCCACACCTAGAGAGGACATCGCCGGTGCCTCGCACTCCTCCCGCCATGCACCATCTATGATCGTGTACCTATGGCCGCCTCTCTCTTGCTTGCCTGGCGGACACGTAACCCGCGCTTGTGCGGTGCTCGGACCTGGTAGCGGAGGTGTGTGAGGCCTGTCTCATATGTATGATAAGATAGTCACCTAACTCGTTCTTCTCCATACAGATGCAGCCGAGACGCGCCTGCTGGCGGTGTGCACGCATGGCCGCAAGGAAGGAAGAGGCTAGTAACATCCTAGTCAATGGCAGACACCATCGGATGAGTCCGCACAGTCAGAGGTGCGTACCGCTCGTATTGTGGCGCATTCGCACGGAGTTTGACCGTATTGCAGCTGTGCAAGTGACGTGAGAGGATGCAGAGGCACGAGGACTCGTACAAGCACACCGTACCTCCCAGCGGGGAGCATCGGGGACTGCGTGCATGTGGGTCGACCACGGAGGACAGTGAGGGAGGAGGAGGAGGAGAATGGGACGGCGTGCGCGACATGTGTGTGCGTACAGGTAAATATACAAATGCAACCGCTGCGCGCCGTGCGTTGCGCGGATCTCGACTTCCTGACGGGGCTTGGCTACAAGTACGCGAAGATGGCTCCGCGCCACGGCCTGGGATCACGCCCGGGTCTTCGCACAGGCAAGTTCCGTCCGTCCGTCCCCTCTCGCTTCGCTTCGCCGAGCGGGCTTTGTGGCCATGGTGTGGTTCTCCCGAGGGCAGCAGAGATGATCCATACCGCCCCGTAGCTCCGTCTGCCGGGCAGTTTAGATCTTTGCGGCGTCCTTGTGAGTGCACCATGCCCATCTTGAATGGTGCCACTCAGGCCTCTGTAAGAGACACTGCGGGCACTAGAGTGCCCGCTCCCCAGGCGTTGATCTGCGACGGCATCGGGTCTACTAAACAATACTGACAATCACACTGCTGGCATGGCATGCCGCTCATGGTCTCTACTCTCGCTTGCCTGGCTGTGTCGCATTTCCAACCCTTCCGAAGGCCTTAAACTTAACTTCCAAGCCTGCAGAACCCGGCTGAATTGCACTTGTGCATTCCGCAGTGAACCATCTCTTCTCCCGCTGATGTCGCTTGTATTTTGCAACTTGTTTCACTCACAGTACGGCCGCACTAACGTCAGTATGATCAGACTATTCTTATCCCTGATCTGCAAGAGATGGCAAAGCTGGTGCTGTTGGTGTAGCGACCTCACACAGGCGGCTGACAGTGCAAGCAAGGCCATTGGGCTGCTCGGAAGAGTGAGCTTTATATACTGGAGAATTGGGAAACTCACCGCAGTGTGCAGCTTGTCAGTGCAACAGATGATTGAGCCTTGCGAAGGTGGGAAACACTTTGGTGAGAGATTAGTTGCCGACTGTTGGCCCTGCAAGTGAGGAGTAGCCCGCTTTGCAAGATAGGCGTACCACGGCAAGTTCGTGTGAACGCCTGGATGTGCACAACCTGCGGAGCATCAACAAAATTAGCGTTGATCCACGCGAACATGCTCGGGACTCCTCTGCTTCGTCGGCCGCTACCGTGCACTCAAGTATCTTCTGCACCTTTGGATGTGCTCCTTCTCCTTCTCGTGCCCCTCCCCTCTCCTTTCTCCGACATGTCCTTGAAGCGCAAGGAGCCCCCACACAGCTGGGAAGGCGGTGAGATCAAGGCGGAGATGCAGGGCTGTTTGAACGGAGACATCTGTGAGTGTTGCTCGCACATCAGGCTCGCGCAGTGCTTACCCTTTCATGCAGACCGGAGGTCGCATGGCAGGCAGAAGCGCATGCGCTATGCCCCGCAGTACTATGCCCTTGACATCGTCCTCGGGTGCGGCCTTGTGATCGCGGGGTGGCCGCAGGACATCCCGTTCACGGACCTCAGTGCGGTCGGCGGCGGGATCGACACACTGCGCGAGATCCGCCGGCGGTGGTACTTGCCGGACGGGGACCCCGAGAAGTTGCGCTTCGAGCCTGCCTCGCGCGAGGACTACGCGAACGCTGCACACGATCCCGAGAGTGTCCATCCGACGCCCCAGCACCTCCCGGAGCTCAAGGCTCGGGCCGCCGCTGCCAAGGCCAGGGCACAAGCCCTCCCCGTCGAGTCCGACGTCTACGACTCACGCAACATGCGGCGGGTTGGCCGCCAATCGACGTCGACAATGCCCGAGCCCAAGGCGTGGACGCAGCAACGGCAGGACACGAAGAAGCGGCGGGCGCGTGCATCGGACATGGAGACACGGGTGCGGAAGAAGCGGCAGACGACGGGGGTCACAAGCATGCCGTTCGTGCTGCAAGGAGCGGACAAGGTGAGCGGCGGCGATGGCGAGCAGGGGTCGGACTCGGAGGAGGCGTACACGCTGGACGACCCTATCACCGACTTCAACCTGACACGCTCCTTTGGCGGCGAGCTCTCTGACGACCCGATTAAGGATGCATCGGACAGCAAGCGAGAGAAGGCCTGAGCGGATTTGGCATGGGAGCGGCGGCATGGCGAGGTCGGGCGAGAAGTTGACAGATTCCGATTCAAACTAGATTAGCCTACTGATAATTCCCACTACATAATCGACGAGGAAGTTGGGGAGGCGGCGAGTCAGGCGCAGTGGTTGTGAAGAAGCAAGAGATTAGCCGCGCGAAGTCCGCGCACGCGGGCGCTCTGAACCACGCTACCTGCCAAATTGGGCATGCATGGCCACTTTCGACACCTCTGCTCGAGCCTCGTTTTGCTTGTCATGCCGTCTGCTTTCCAAATAAATGCAAAAGCGACCGAATGGTGCTGACCAAATCGTGCTAGACCGGCCGCAGGCGAGATATCTGGGCCGTCCGCGCGGAATTGACTGCGCATGACATTCAAGCGCTCCGGCCGGGCTACCCTGAGACTGCCCGATCGAGGCCATGCAGCGCCGACGGCTGGCCTCACCCTGAAGATGATATGAGCTGGCGTTACGTTGCACAACAAAGGGCAGATTCATCGGGAAACGGACTACCTCAACAATATACCTAGGCCCGTGCCCGTCCCACCGCCTTCTCTTCCTCCACACCAATCACCTCTCCTCCCTACGTGCCAAATCTCCTCCCTGGATTACCGTTCCCTCGACTCTCGATCAACGTCTTCTTTCGCTGAAATTCCTCGCCGCCTCTGCTTTATAAATGTCCGCTGTGACGCGCTCCCGGCGACGCGGTTTCTGCCCCTCCCCACCTCCTCGACACCACCATCGCCCGATGCGACGAGCATGCCGGCGCGATAGACTGTCGTTCCAGGGCAAGCTCAGCCGTGACGCCTAGAGCAAGGTTGGCCATCTCCCAGCGGCGCCCATGTCGGCAGGGAGGCTGGTTGGCAGTGCAGTCGAACGAGGTGAGAGCCAATGTCGAGATCGAGACACAGCATTAACTTGACATTGTTACCGGAGCATATGAGCACGAGTTTCCCAGGGCAGAGACACAGGAATAGCGCAAGACGAGGGAAGCAAAAAGAAGGCACGATGGAGCAGAATGCAGCGCGGTCGCGGTCGATGTGGCGGAGTGCACGCTGAGTGCAGTGTGAAAGTCTCTGCACTGTGGGCAGACGACCTGGGCGAGTCTTAACGTGAGTGAATACACACGATGCGCTTATCGTTTTCTGCCCCACTCACCGCCACAGGCGTATGCCGCATCAGCCAGCACGGGCGACGCCAATGGTGCTGCGTCCCCGCACACACCGCACGTACACTGTGCGGGGCACATACGGTGCCACCACTCGAGTACGTGGGTGCTCTGTGGACAACAGCGCGCACACGTCATGCTCATGCTCGCGAGGGCTGTGCGCGTCGAGCGAGCGCGAGGAAGACGCCTGTCGAGAAGCGCCATGTCGTAGGGCGGCCGCGAGGCCGGCGCGAGCACCGTTTGGGCATTGGCCCGCAACAAAGGCACGCTGTAAAGGTAAGCAGACGTGCACTGTGCATGAGATCACCACTGACACGTACCATCGCGGGGGTACGCGGCGTGGGCGCAGCAATAGAGATGCGTGAATTATGTGTCGCATCAGGAGGCGCTGACGGGTTCGGCATTGCTTTGCGATGCACCTACCCTGTCAAGGTAAGTATTCTATTACTGCATTCTTACTGATACTCACGACGTACTAGGGCGCAGGAGAATGGCGAAGTGCACGGAAGACGGGATAATGGAGCAGGCGGAGTGCAGGCAGCGCTGGTTGACGGGAGAGGTGAGTAGCCTCGTGTTGTCTAAGCGCGTACCTTGATGGATCGGGTTCCTGCAGTCTGCGCGGCCGGCAATCGACTGTTTGCATAAGGGAGTCGCTGGGAGTCGAGACCGCGGGCCAAGCGAGAAAGCAGAGGCGAGGGCCCGGAGACAATGGTGGGGATGGTGGCGGTGCGGGTGAGAGGCTGCGAGAGGGCGAAAGTTGTAAAGGGCCGCGCGCCGCGGGCGGGCGAGCTGACTTGCGAGTCCCAGGCGCCAAAATCGGCGCTGGGCTCTCCTTGCCTCCCACGACCATGTCGTGGCCTCGCACACGAAACACACCGCCGCGGAGGAGCACCGTCGACTCCTAGGGCCACCTAGGACGCACTGCGTATGAATTTGGCGTCCCCGCCGGCCACTGCGCCCCCCAATTGGAACTTTGGCGGCCCCGGGACCAGTCTTCTCTCTGGGACTGTTTGCCTTGAGATCACGACGTCGGCGGGTCGACAGGGTGCGTATCTGTTTCTTAGGGTGCTGACGATACCATTTAACTCGCAGCGAGCTATACAAGCGTCCAAATGGGCTTGGGAGCCGCTCAACGAATCCCGCCATCTCAAAGCTCGCCGAGGTCCTCTGCCGGGGTGTCTCCTCACGCTATCGAAGGTATGCGCGCGCCCGAGTGTGCATTACGTCTATTTTCACTCACTTGTACCTCCCAGGTCGCAGTGGACTTGCTCAGACGCAGCGCGGTGACGGCGCGGTCGAGTCCCGCGGCGCACAAAGAATGTCAACTCGGCGCGGGCGTCGCGAGATCCGCCGGCGGCGGACTGCAAACACGCAAGACGGCTGGTAACTCGAAGGTATGCCCGTGCTCTCGCGGACATTGTGGACGCTGACACTTACCCGCGCTTTTTTGCAGGTCACAGTACTCGCTTGTTGAAGTGCGGCTCGACGACGGCGCAGTCGAGCACCACAACACACGAAGAACATCGATCTTGCGCGTGGGTGGCGAGATTTGCTTGAAATGCTGCAGCGGACCGCGAACGCGCGAGACGACCCATACGTACGTATGCACCGGGCGGGAAGGGGAATGGCTGACGGGAACAACAGCCGAAGATCCGGGTAGCAAGCAGTCGAGTAAGTAGGCGCCACCGCAATGAGCTGCCCGACATGTCTGACCCGCCTTTTGCAGATCCAGACCGCGCGAACAGACGCGAGCGAGCTGTCCAGATATCCGGGAGCGGGCAGGACGAGGCTCGGAGTGAAATGGCGACGATGTCGAGTGCTGCGAGGGCGCCAATTCCGCGAACTCGCATTCCGCAAAGTTCGTGGGCGGAGAGCCTGCGCGAAAGCACTGGGTAGCGCGTCGCCGTCCTCGCGAGGATTTCAATCTCGTCCCTGGCGCACTCGCGCAACTCTCGGCCGTGCGATTCAAGCGTCCAGGAGGGGAGCAGTGCGTATGCCGGTTTGGAGACTCCCTCGACTCCGCGTTTTTCGAGTTTCCGGACGCCTCGTCGGTGGACTCGTAGCCACGAATTTCCATGGTGCTACGACGTGTTTCCTAGCTTTGTAGAGTCTGTTCGAAATATATTTTTGAGCCCTCTTCTCCTACACACTCCTCTGCATATCCCCCTCCGCTCCACAACTGCGCTCTCCCCCTGCAGTCTCCCCCTACGCTTTCCTACACTGCACTCTCCTACTATGCTCTCCTACTATGCTATCCTCCACAATCAGAGTCTTTGATTCTCGCCGCAGTGGGTTCCCTCGCGTACTCGCACGCATGCTCTCCCGCGCGCTCATCCCGCACTCGCCCGCACCCGCCCGCACTCGCACCGCCACGCACAGCGCGTTCCGCGCAATCAAATATATTTACGGCTATGTAGTCGCCGGAAGCAGCGACCCGAGATCCCCAAACCCCGGAACAGAAGGTCAGGTGCAGCGAAGGCAGAGCTTCCCCCTTTCGACGACGCCGGGAAGGAGACCCAACACGGCTTCCTTCACCACCCTCGGGTTGTTGCTCGAATGCAACGCAAGGTTGATGTTGACGTTGAAGGTAGTGTGCGCGAAAATAGGCCGGGAGAGGATGGAGTCGAGGGTGGCCCAGTCGAAGGAAGAGACGGAAGATGTGTTCAAGACCAGCATGGACACGGACAGCGTCTCCAGATGTGGCGCGCGCAGCTCCGCAAGCAGCGCGGACGTCCATGCGACGCATCCGGGGACGACGAGACCGTCGATTTCCAGCGCACGGAGGTTAACATTGTGATACAAGCTAGGCAGCTCTTGTGATTCTATAGCACCCACGTGAGCTTTTGACTGAAGCGGAAAGTACAGGTGTGCTTACCCTCCATAGTGGTTGGCAGCTCCATATACACCCGCTCGAGCGCGGGACCGCATGCACGGAGGAGGCCGTTTAGCGTGTTAATAGACTCCCGCTCGCGCCACCGGATCATGAGCGTGCGGACGTCAAGATGTTCCGCCGAAGGCAAGAGCCACTCGCGCACCATCTCCGACGACGCCCAGGAATCAATGACCAGCCGGCGAAGAGGCGGGGGCGCCTTGAGCGGAAGCGAGCCGTACGGTGCGCACGAGGGGTTCACCCACGACACGCGGTAAAAGCACAGCTCGCGCACATTGCACGCGGCGGACAGCAGCGCGTGCACATCCGCGAAGCTGTCGAAGTAGACGTCCGCGAGAACCAGCCCAGTGAGGCGCGAGAGCGCCTCAAGCGCCTCGGGCGACGATTTCTGGAGCGAGACGTAGTGCAGGCCTACAAGCTCGAGCGTAGTGAGCCGGTGCAGCTGTGCGACCAGGGCGGGGACGCGGTTGACCCAGTTCTGCGCGTACGCGGTGCTCATGGGCTCGCTGATGGAGAGCTTCTGGACGTAGTGGGCGATGGCGG